GTGTGTGTGTATTTGTACGAAATATTTTAAAACATGAAAAATCAAACGAAAAGTATGTATAACATAGAATATTATATTATAATATACTTTTTGTTTGATTTTTCATGTTTTAAAATATTTCGTTATATTTGACTCTTATGTATCCTCTTATGTATACTCTCGATATTGTTTTTTAAATCAAGAAGTTTTCGTTCTTGTAAAAACTTATAGAATAAAAGGATTATTTTAAAATTATTTTAAAATTTTATGAATATGTATGTTTATGAATATGTATGTTTAAGAAAATGTATAATTATTTTTATAAGTATAACTGAATTATGAATTAAAAAATTCGATGCTTATAAAAAATTATACATTTCGAATATTATATGATTTTATTTTCAAAAGAATTTATTTTGCATTTAGATTTTCAGAAGAACTTTGCATTTAATAATATTTTTTGAAATATTGTTTGATTTTTTTCATACTTTTTTTGTTATAGAATCATCGTAGCGACGTTACTGATATAACTTCACTGTTGCGCGCATCGGATTGGTGAGTGATAAATTAATGTTTTTATTGGAGTAACGAATGTATGGTAATTTTATTAATTACTATATATCTATAGATGCATGTGCATCAATTTATTAAAAATATACAGATAATTGTATATATAGCATTCCATACATCCGTTGCTTTAAAATGGATAAGTTATCAGATTGGGATAAACTTAATCCTGAATATCTTTTTATTATGGAATTTATTGTGCATGCACTATGAAATTTATAATGTCACGTTACACTCGCTCAATAAAAAATGTTTTATGCATGGATATGTATAAATATGTATGAATATAAATATCCATAAATATGTATAATTATATATATATATATCATGAAATATGTCCATACATGTTCATACATTCCTCTTTCTTTGTAAAATTACTTTTTAGTGATAGAAATAATAATAGTAATGTGAAAACTAAAAATAATTAAAAGGGTAATTTTTATACTATTTGTTTTAAAAAAAAATCAAATTTGAAGAAATGTAAAAAAACTTATGTATAATTATATATATGAAATTATGCATAATTGTGTATGAGCAATTTTTTTTTACATTTTTCCAAACTTTTTTTTTTCTGAAATAAATAATGCGAAAATTAATCTTTCAATTATTTTTAATGTTTTTACATTATTATTATTATTTCTATTACACTAAAAACTAATTTTACAAAAGAAAAAGAGATGTATGAATATGTATGGACGTATTTCATATATGATTATACATATTTATGAATATTTATGTATGTTTATACATATTTATACATATTTATACATAAAAAATTTTTTACCGAGGCACTTTTAATTAACAATACAATATTCAAAGTAAATAAGGGCTATTAAGAGCCAAACGCTGTTCTTATTATGGAAACATTATATATAATTATGTTAAACACATCAATAAAATTAAAAAATTAAAAGATTGAACATTAAAAAAACATTTTAACAATAATCACAACGTTTCAACCTTTAATGTAATCATCTTCAGTGGGAAACTATTAACGTTATATAACGTTATATAACGTGTCTAATGCATTGGGCTGTTAATAGTCCTTATTTAATTTGAATATTTGTATTTATACCTATATAATATTATATAATATTTGTACTTATTACACATCGCTTTGAAAGCTGTTTTTTTGCACTTGATGGTACAAATAAGAATTTTTATTGGATATCGCTCGTCGCTGATTTTTCATCGTATTCAGTGTGCAATAAGCATTAAGGCCAATATTCATAGTTCTTATTTTAAAACCATCTTAAGTAATGTTCTGAAATGCTAATACAGCTCTTTGATTGATGACATTTTAAGACTGTACTTAAGACGATCTTAAATATAAAATCTGAATATAAGCAGAGAGAAACCTGAATATTAATTTGATAGATTTTAGTTATTTCAGCGATTTGTTTCTATCAGGAGCACCGCAAAAAATGAATATTGTTGTGTATTTTACATCTACTTCTTCAGAGGGCAGTAATGCGCGGCGGCATTTTGCTGTTACAGGAAAAAGTCCTCGCGTCCTTTCTCAGATATCTCTGTGATAATATATTTTATAATTTTTTTTTTACTGTTCCAAATTAAGCAATTTCTTAGACTTAAAAAAGGTTGATTGGGTGTGTACATACATAATAATGCATATAAATGTTGCAACTTGTATATAATAATTCTATATTTATTTTGTATTTACAATGAGATATGACAAGAAATGCTTTACTTATTTATTAAATATGCCTAAAATAAATGCCTAAAATAAATTATAGCCAATATTGTTAAATAATATAAATTTTATTTATTTATTTTAATTGCAAATAAACGTTTGGAATATAATTAACGTTGTAGTAATTGCTAAAGACAAAAATAAAAAGAAGATAAATGTACCTAAAAATGCTTTTACGTTTGTAATTATTTAATCGAAATAATTATTTACAAAATAAATTTAGTAATATTCCTATTTACATTGAATTATTCTATAATTATGTGAACAAGTTTACTTGATATGACAGGATCATAACATTCTTATTTAATCATCGTATGTCTCCAAAACATCTGCTAAATGTTCATTATCTCTTGGTTTCTTAAATTGTTTCCTTCTATTAACGGGTTTCTTTCGTTTGATTGGTGCTGGCTTTTTCAATCCATGATCTTGCATTGATCTAATTCCTTGTTTCTCAAGATATTCATCTATTTTTTGATCATCCATAGCATCTACTGCAACAGCTCGCCATAATTTTTGGAATTCTTCGTCAATGGGGAATTGGGCTGTCTTATCATTATAAAAGATAATTTTTTTCTTATCAAGAGGTCGTGTAATGTACAATATCTCGTTTTGTAAATTCTGAAATATATATAATAAATATAATATCTCAAATTGCAACTAGCGAAATAAATTTTTACATATTCATACTTACCTTTAAGTGTTTATCACAATGCGGTAAACTCTCCTGTATATCTTCTAATAATATACCACCGAGACCTTTTAAGTCATGTTGTTTTAGAAGTCTCAATAAAGACTTTTTATCTTTAATTTTATACATAGGTTTAAAGACAAATCTGCCATCTGTTACTTCAATCTTAGGATTTTGTATTAAAGCTTCAGTTTGTAACCATTGTTTGACCTGAAAATATATTTAAAAAAAGTAAATAACTTGCTTCGATAAAAAATAGAAATATAAAACAGGAATAATAAGAATAATAGAAGACAATACTTTTGATCCAACATCTAATTGATTTGTTTCATCTAAAATTTCTTCTAATGTCAATGGATGATCATCTCCTTCTTGATGCCTTGCTTTCATGTGTTTTACTATCTTTGCTAACACGCCAAATTTGTATTGTGTGCTACCAGCCATGGTTTTATAGTTAACCATGTCCAATTTCGGTCCTGTAGATACCGATGATGGTTTAGGTTTCTTCTTTGGTGGTTCATCTTTCGTAGCTTCTTTCTCCTGCTTCCTTTTGTCAACTCTGTAATTGCATTATTGGAAATATATTTTTCGTATAAATAATCTAAACATCATGATATAGGTATTTTCAAATTATTGATACAAGTCGATACAAATATTATTCTGTCTTTATTACTTATTGAATGATAAGAAAGATAGAATGATATTTGTGTCAACTTATATTATCAAATAAAGAGCACTCATTATGATTATAATAGACTATTTAGTAAAAACTAGTATATTAGGTTATGTGCTCAAATTCGACAAAATGAAATAGCTACATATAAATGTATATTATTATTATTCTTTCTTAAAATTTCGCATTAAACATATGTGTATAACGTATATTGGTAAGATAATAATAGATAAGAATAATCACTCACATTGGTGTGGTCAGAGCACGTTTCTTGAAGAGCTCTCGCTCTCTGAGTAAAGCAGGATCCATTGTTATTACAGATTTCAATTTTAGTTATATCACAATTTTTTATTTCATGATTCGTACGTATATTGTTGGAATTCGTTACTATCTTACAACAAAACCCAAAACCTAACCTCTCACCAGATATTCGTACCTGAATGTACTATCACGTCTACCACCATAATGGCACAATCTCAGCTTTGGCGCCCTCGTCGCCTGATGGCTCCAATTACTCTCAATTGCTTCGAACTAAACGCAAGTTACTGCGCAAGCATGGCTGATGTATTAAAAATTGTGCATCTATATAGGTTTGTTTTTTTTTTAAACTAGAAAATACACTTTGCGTGCACTTAAAATGAAATAGATATACATTTAATATTTGTTGTAATAGAAAAAACAAAAAGGAAATTTTTATTTTTTCTGGTGCAATAATAAAAAGATAAACCTTGTAACTTCTGTAAAATTCATTGCGATGTTATATATGTGATTTTTATTATGATCTGGCACAAACTGAACACAATTTCTAATAAATATCAACAGAAACATCATAATTATTAGTTATAGTTTCGCATTTAATAATATAATTGTTATATAATACGTGTGTTATATTAATACAATTATATTATTACAATTATATAATTGTTGAGTGGAAAATGATAACTAATGTAGTTATGTTATAAATTTTTGTTATAAATGATGTTTGTTAGGAAATTATCATAACATTAAAATGACTCCAAAAGCCGATATACATTTACTAGTACTGAATATGTAACGTGAACTACAGATTTTCAATATTGGCAACGTATATCGGAACATGGCCAAAATAATTACTAAACATCACTTTTCAGTCAATAACGATTTATTTTATTAACATTATTTTGATGTTATCGTAACTTGTTTTTGCTTGGGGGAAACAGATCACTGAAATTGTTCAAACGATGTCAAATAATATTTATTGCTTCGCAGTTGTATAAAACAAGCACGAATGTAGATATAGTACATATAGAGAAACAAATCATATGCAGTTTAATATGCAGTTATATTTTCGTTTTTTGTTTGTTTGTTTGTTTGTGATCTGTGTTCTGAATGCGCTTTTATCGATAAATGCGCGCTTTTATTTGTGAAATTCTATAGTATATAATATATATAATGTGTATATATATGTTAAGTGCACGCTAATATCGTTATAAACACGTTATGAATACGATATCATCAATTCATCAATCCTATCATCAATTTAACTCTTTAATTGCGTCATACTTCAATTTCACATTGCTCGTCTCAGAATTAGAAATAACCGCATGTACGATTTTTTCATATCGACAATTGAATGTGCATTTTGGCAAATAAAAAATTACTTTTTTAAAAATTACTTATTTGTGATTTTGTATTTCAATTTTGTATTTCAAAACTAGTACAAATAAATAAGAAAAATTATTATTTTTTATTAAGTTAAACTATTAATGTACACGATAACGTGTAAGATAATGTTCTATTTTTTAACTACTTAGTAAACATTTTTCGAAGATATGAGGCATTTATGTAAATTCAGTAATATCGCAAGATCTTAAGCTCTCTATCAGTGTGCTCTGTATTGCAGTTGAGAATTATGTTATGATTCAGATAACAAAAAGCGTTTAAAATCGGGTCATAAAACGTTTTATACATGTCTAAACGATTTAAAGACATCTTATGTCACAATTTTAGACTTTGTGTTGTTCGGGGAATGTACATTGAAATTGTAAGTATAATTAAAATAATAATTTATGCATTCAAACAGTCAACTTACATCTTACAAAAATGTTTTTTTAGTGTTTATAAAAAAACATTATAAGATATTAACATCTAGATTAAAAAAAATATTAGAAATAGAATTAAGAAAAAGAAAGTTGAAAACTGATATTGATTTCAAGGAGACAAAATTAAAAAATTATTAAATACAATATTTAATAATTAATTCCATAATGAGCAAGTTGGCTTACAGACATACTAATAGGAATAGTTACCCTACATGCGCCTTTGCTAATTAAAAGATTGATTCAATTTGATTCCCACTGAGACATTTTGAAACTCGTTATTAATTTCAATTAATGAGAAACTAATTGAGTTAGAAACTAATTAAACGAGGATTAATTAATTATCAATCTTCTCTTACAAACGCTAAGCTAAATAACCGCTCGTGAAACACTCGCGAATTTAACGTATGAATATCGACTTTCACGTTAGAAATGTCAAATAAATTCTTGTCCAATCATTGATCAATGATTCAGAGCGTTTTTACAGTTGTTTGTACGTGGGACATACTTTGTTAAGGAGCTGTGATTCTCGGACGTGTTTCATCTCCGTGACAAACGTTTTGCGAGCAATGCGGCACACGCAGCTCGCTCTATTCCGCACTCGGATTATTACTTTTGCACATCGAAGGGCACTAAGAAACCTTCGACTTGGACGTGAATCCATGAAATTTATTGCAGATACACCTGTGAATAGCAAATTATTTCTGTCGCGAGTAAATCAAGTCGAATGTTGCATCGGATATATACATGGACTCCTATAATCCTATAAACGCAGCACGTTCTTTTATTGTTTGGCGTCGTAAATGCAGCGTTTACGACACAATTTGTGCGATATTATTCGATAATGATTAAACTATTATTCTTGTAATAAAATAAGAAAAGAAGGGCATTTTATTGTTAAAAATTTTTTTTATAGATGAAAACGGTTAAAAAACTTTTTTAGTAATTTGTGAAACATATTTGATTTTTAATAGAAAAATTTAACTTTTAGAATCCCTAAGTCCTAAAGTAAATTATTGATTCATGACTCTTTGTTAGTAAGCGGATTGACTACATCATTTATATTAAGCACTTCCAGCGCTGATCTCCGCTATTAAATCGCAAATATGTAATCGCGCACTAAGATAATAATGTGATAGCGTCAGAACAAACATTAATGTTTTTTTGTGAAAAGTTTTGAACTCTCTCTCTCTGTCTCTCTCTCTCTCTCTCTCTCTCTCTCTCTCTCTCTCTCTTTTCTTTAACAACGACTTGCACCTTTTGACACGTTAGCGTGGTCTCGCCGTACTTTGAACTTTTTCAGGAAGGATTTCCATAATTCGCCAGCGCGGACGTATAAAGTTGACCGTCCGACCGCTTAAAACCTCGACGAAGAAAGTTATCCAAGCAACGAGCGAAGACGCGTCGCGCATATATTAGACGGGACTGTTTGCGACGCTGCGCGCTTTCCGCTAAGTTATACCTTATTCTTATGAATTTCTTGGCAAAGAAAATGTGTGCATGTTTGTTTGTGTGCATTTCTTTCTGTATATGTTACACGTGCATGTAATATCGGATACTCTTTCCATCAAGATTAAGGCGACATTGAGCCATTCTTTTGTTACATTGTACATCATATAAAAGCTGTGAAACTTTTTAAGAGATGCATATTTTACGTTTCGCGTAATATGCGAATGAGTATATATGCATTTTAACTGTATGTACTTAGAGTGTATATCCAAAAATTGTTTTTTATTTCAGACACGTATTTGTTAAAGTAATTCTCTATTCTATATAATACCTAAAGAAATCTATTTCCCTCTAAAATGGATAGAAATGATAGAATAAAATCGCATGAATGTAATCGCGAAATATAAATATAAATATAAATACGATATTTTAGAATTATTTTTTTTAAATAATTCTAAAATATCGTATTTATAATTAATTTTATATTAAAAATCAAAAAACAGTTCAAAGAACATAAGTTCGTTTTATATAAAGAATTTTATAAAAAGAAAAGATTTAATTTAAGAATCGAATTTCAGAAGTGGGAGAGAGTTTGTATCATTCGGAAAGTCTAACATGAAATTCATAAAACACATTTGTTCTTATAAACAAACTATACGTATAATACAATATATATAATATGAATTAATTTTTTATATTCTTATTTTATTCCGCATATTCCGCATATTCTTTAATAATATCGATTAATGCAATGACTTTTTATCTTTTTAAGAATTGCTCATTGCTTTATATATGTATGTTCAGTAAAATTGATCGTTAGTTTAAACGATGCCATTTGCAAAGCAAAATGTACAATAATAGAATTTATAATATATTTATAACATTTATTAAAATTTATTTAAAATGTAAAAAAATAGCAAATTTATATGCGTATTTTATGTGTAATGAAATAATAATATCTCTTGCAAAACGTAATGCTCGAACAAATAAATAGTGCCGCCATTCGTTCTGTGTGTCGTGTCGTTATTCCTTTTCGAAATGCGACCGTGATCATATTTTATGAATTAGCCATTATCGGTTTGCCTAATTAATTTCCGCGATTAATATTTTGTACTGAGGCATCGACTATTTATCGAAACAAATACTTCACACGTTTTTTTTCTTTAAAATAAAAGTCAAAATTATAAATAGATATTGGAATTAGAGATCGTCCTTTCATTGAAATTTCCAATAATTATTCTCTGAACAATGTTCGCATTAAATATCTTTCATATTATATTTCTTGTTAAATCAGACGTATCTTCATCTGAATTAAAAGCACAAAGTAAAATTAATTCGAATAGCTCATGTCTATAATGGCGAAAGCTGATATATTGATTATATTGATAACGCATAGTTCATATTTATAATATAAAATATATCACACGAGCTGAAAATGTAAAAAGCGACGCGCGACGTATTTAAAGTATACATTTATTTTGTAAAGTTTAAAATAATTTCATAACCATAAAGATGGTTGGCTAATGCACATACAACGATCAAAGTGCGTCGTATTTTGTGGCGTAGTCCAACTGCTTCTTTGTGATGTCACAAGATCGGTGCTACTTACGTCGCGCGCCGAATCGTTGGCCATTATCATTCGCCACAATGAGCGATCGAACGAGGTAGGTAGTGTCGCTCGTGTGGCGTCTTATTATTACTTTTCGAAACGCGATTGCGACAAGCATTTAAGAACTATTATTCTCTAAGTGTTTGAAGATCGCAGATAATATAGAGCATAAAATACGATTCACTGTACGAAGTAATTTACTCTGTGATATATCGATTGATTATTAATATGTATTTACACGCATTTATTTCGAAACGTATATAATATTTAATTAATCGTACGTAATAATATTTAATTTATCGTACGTATAATATTTAAT